GCCCTTCCACTCGCCCCATTCAAGACCCCTCATCCCAGGCCCCGCCCCACTGGCTCTTATAGGCTCAGCCCTGCTGCCTGGTCCTGCTCCCGTTCTTATCTATGCCCCTCCTGCCGCAAGCCCCGCCCCACAAGCCCTTCTAGACTCCACCCCCTGCTTTGACCACGCCCTTCCTGCCTCCGCCCTTATGCCCTAGACCCCACCCACGCACCTCACAGGGCTCCCAGCCTGCGGCCAGCTGGCGAGCGTAGTCATTGGCCACATGCTGCTTGGAGGTCCCACTGACGGCATCGTGGTGCTGGAGCACAGCCATTGCCTCATCTGCAGGCAGATGGTGAGCGAGTGGTGAGCTGGGTGGGGTCGGTGCAGGACTCTGAGCCCTGATCGCAGAGAGATGCGAATGGTCACGTGCAGGGCGCCAGGGCTCTTAGGGGCTTTCAGAAAGGACTCCAGGATGAGGCCATGGTCTGGTGTCCAGCTTGGGCCCTGCCCCACCCCCTCACCAACCATACACCTACTGAGGGGTGCACTGTCTCCAGAGCCATAGGGTCCCATGTTGGCCGCTGGACCTGCCAATGCCTCCAGCTGGTTGCACACCTAGGAGGCAGGGAGTATGTTGAGGCACAGGGTCGGCAGGGACCCCTGGGCTGCCCCCTTGAGTCTAGCACCCACCCACCTGCAGGAAGTTATAGCTGAGGCGCTCGTAGCGTTTGAGGGCCGGCCGGCTGGTGAAGTAGCCAGTCCAGAACATGTGGGGGCCATCGGCATAGGGGAAGAAGTCATCCTGTTTCACCGACCTGCAGCGGCAGAGGAATTGCGGGAGAGTCACTACCCACAGGGCACGCACACCCCCCTCAAGCTCCCCAGGTCCCCCAAATACCAGGTGAGGTTGGCCTTGTTCAGCTCCCAGAGGTAACAGGCCGGAGTGGAGTAGAGAACATTGACACGGCTCCCATTGGCCTGCTGCTGGGGGAAGGTGTTGCATGTGTGAGCCCTCTGGAGTCTGCAACTTCCTGAGGGGGTGGGCCCACAGGTGGGCAACACATACACACATTTATGCATCCAGTGGGTTCAGATTCTCTTAGTACACATTTTGAATGCAAACCAATAACCAAGTGTGAAAATGTATTTTGGCCAAACCTAAATATTACCAGCCTGGAAAGAATTTCAGTGATGCAAGAATAAATCTGAAATATTACTAAGCTTTTTAAATAATTTCAATTGTATTATTAAAAACTTTCATGGGAAAATTAAGTCTGACATATAGGGCACGAATAATCATTTCTCAGCACTGTCAGGTTATTGCTAAATGACACAATTGTCATAATGAATAGAGGCTCACTTTCAACTGAGGGAGGTAGAGGAACAGGCTCAGTTGGTTAATGTGTCGTCCCAATATGCCAAGGTTGTGGGTTTGATTCCAGGTCAGGGCACATACAGGAATCAACCAATGAATGCATCAATAAGTGGAACAACAAATCAATGTTTCTCTCTCTCTCTCTCTCTTTCTCTCAAATGAATCAATAAAAACGTGTTTTTTTTTTATAAAAAGAAGGTGACATCTTCCATGAGGAAAGGATGTTTGTATCAGTACCTGGTACAAGTAGATGCTCATTCACTCACTTGAAGGGAAGTGCATGAGACCACAGGCCTTTATGTGCGGACACACATCTACACGTCTTCAGCATAGTCATATACACCGTTACATACACAGACCCACATACACACTGTATTCACTCAGCAATCACTCAATTCTTCAACATGCTCGGGATGGCTGACGCGAACTAGAACCACAGGCCAGCCCCGCTCTCATGGGATTCACAGCCAAGTGCAGGAGAGAGACTGGACAGACAGTCAGTTGGTTACAATCGGCCTGGATGTGACAGGTATTTGTGAAGACTGGTGTGAGTACAGAGGAAGAGCAAGAGCTCTGCCTGGGGTTGGTGAAGGCTTCCTGGAGTAAGAGACACTGGTATCATAAAGGAGAAGCAGAATGTTTTCAACCTCAAATAATAATAATAAATTAAAAACATAATATTTATTATTTACCCAGCACTGTTCTAACTGATCTGTGTAAATGAACTCATTAAACTCTCATCCACAGCCTTAACAGGTGAGAACCACTATTATGCCCTTTTTCTAGATAAGAATACGGGGAGGTACTGAGTGCTAAACATTTCTGAAGGTCACAGAGCCAGCAAGTGGCAGAGCCAGGATTAGAACTGAGAGATTCCCACTTCCAGCAGAATGGAGTGGTCAAAGAAGCCGTCAGTGGCAGGAGAAAAAACAAGGAAGTGTGATGTCCTGACAGCCCAGGAGCATGGTATTTGCAGAAGGAAGTGATCAGGTTTTTCAAGGCTCCTCAGGGACATGGGGAAGACTGAGAAATGTCTTTTGGAAGATCCTTGGTGATGTTCCTGAGAGCTGTTTTGGTGAAACAGCAGTGCAGGGAGCAAGCAGACGTTGAGGACATGGAGATTGTGCTGATAGACAACTCTGAGGATGGAAGTGATGGGAAGGGACATCTTAGATGGAAGAGGGGAGACAGGTTCTGTGCTGATGGGAGAGTGACTGCCTGCCCACACAGCCACAAGCCACAGGCCAATTACAAGAGCCACACCAATACATCTGAATAATGGCCACCCAAAAACGTCCATGTCCTAATACCTGTGACATGGCAAACAGGAATTAAGTTTGCAGGTGGAATTAAATTGCTAATCAGATGAACTTAAAACAGATATTATCCTGTCCTAGTTGGTTTGGCTCAGTGGATAGAGCGTTGGCCTGTGGACTGAAGGGTCCCAGGTTCGATTCCGGTCAAGGGTACATGCCCTGGTTGCGGGCTCGATCCCCGGGGGGCGGGGGAGGGGAGGCAGGAGGCAGCCAATCAATGATTCTCTTCATTGATGTCTCTATCTTTCTCTCCCTCTCCCTTCCTCTCTGAAATCAATAAAAATATATTTAAAAAAAAACAAAAAACAGATATTATCCTAGATTATCTGGGTGACACCAATGTAATCACAAGGGTCTTTAAAAGTGGAAGAGGGAAGTGAAAGAAGTAAGAGTAAGAGAAAGAGATGTGGCAGTGGAAGCAGGGTCAGACTTAAGATGGAGGGAGGGTGCCATGAGCCAAGGAACGTGGGCGGCCTCCAGAAGATGAACAAGGCAAGGAAACTTTCCCCTAGAGCTTCCAGAAGGAACTCAGCCCTGCTGACATGTTGATTTTAGCCCCATGAGACCAATGTTGAACTTCTGACTGCAGAACTCTAAGATAATATATTTCTGTTGTTTGAAGCTGCTACATTCCTGGTGATTAGCTCGTTATAGGAGCAAAAGAAAACTAAGAGAGCACCCATAGCTACTCCTCTTGACCCAAGGCCCGGGGATCTAAGCACGCATGTGCACACAGGGTAGACACACTCACCTGGGCATTGACCAGCTGGATGAGCTTGTCAAGGTTCTTGAACCACATGTTGGCATTCTCATATTGGAAGTCCGAACCCATGGTCATCACAGTGTGGTTGGTGCGGTAGAACTGGCCCTGCAGACAGAGTGGGGGTGTCCTCAGGCCAGAGTGTCCTGGCCACCCCTGTGCACAGCTGTGTCTTGGTATATATGTGGTCAATTGTGAATGCACAGTAGCATGGGGAGAGGGGTGTGCAGAAGTATGTCACACGGGAACATAGGGACATGAATAAAAATAGCCACAAGTTGTTGAGTTAATTCTCTTGGGCCTGCCATGCTGTTTCATGAGCATGGTGAGTGTGTGGGGAGGGGAAGGGCTCCACAGGCTTCTAATCAGGAGCAAATCTAGAAGGAGGACATGGTGAGGTGAAGAGACTATCACCTTCCTCTGAGGGTAGGAGGAGGTATTAGGGAATCAATCCCTGGGCTGTGAGAAGGACCTGATGCAGTATGTACCCCTGTTTTCCGGGTTCTGGGCACTGGGGTTACCTGGTCTTTGGCTAACTTTAGGAAGTAATCGACCAGTTCTTCGGCGTTGTACTCAGGGCTGCGGCGGTCATCCACGATGGGTTTGTCAGCACACACGACGTCCCAGCACAGGTTCTCCGGTGGGTTGTAATTGTTGGGGAGCACACCTGTGGCCACACTAGACTCAGGGGGTAGCCCAGCGCCCTGGACCTGCCCTGGAGTCACAGCCTGCAATGCCCCACCCAAGTCGGACTTCAGAATTTGCAGGGGCCCAGCGCAAAGTGCTGAGCTCTTGGTGGTAAATTATTAAAAACTTCAAGATGATGTCAGCAGAGTGTAAAGCCATGCCTTTGGAGGCGACCCTGCCCCCACCTATCCACCCCCTTACTGGTGAAGAGGTCAGCGGTGGGGGGCTTCAGGCTGGCACTGCCCCGCCAGACCTGCTCCATCTCAAGCTTCATCTTCCGCACCGATTTATCTTGGTAATCCAGGCGCCCGAAGAAGAAGCCGTCAAAGCCCATCTGGGAGTGGTGGGGGATGAGGACAGGAATGGAGGGCAGGGTGACTAAGTGCGAGGCCTTCTCACCACCACCCTCCAGCCCCCCTCCGCATGAAAGGGGTGGGTCAGAGCACAGAAAAAAGCAGGTCTATCCCTCTCTCCCTCTCCCTTCCTCTCTCTAACATCTA